GTTAGAACTCAACTGAGTTATGGGGCAAGTTAAATACACTGTGAACATTCATCCTCAATAGAAAATAGCAGAGACCTTAGTTTTCTTTTTCTTTTATGCTCTGTTTGGCAACTTGAATTTGACAATGTGTATTTGAATTTGGAGGGCTCAAATTCAATTTTACTGTTTATTTTTACCTAAATAAAATGTAATTGAATTTGGATGAAATACATGTATTTTAACCGAGTAATTTTCATGAGTAAATTCCGTGCATTTCAATTCCACCCTAAAACCCTCGAATTTCAATTTTGAATTGAATTTGGTCTGCACTCTCTTCTCACCGACGGCGATGAGCCTTCACCGTCCGCCCTGACTCTGGCGCTGCTCTAGCTGCTCCCGCTGCTCTCGCTGCTCCCGCTGCTCTCGCTGCTCCCGCTGCTCCCGCTGATCTCGCTGCTCTCGCTGCTCTCGCTGCTCTCGCTGCTCCCGCTGCTCTAATTTGTTTATTCCTACCTTTGCCTATCATCGCCTTTTGTTCGTCTGATTCTCCTCTCTGACTCATCCTGTTCTTTCTCTCTCTCTCTCTTGCTTCCCAAATATCTCTCTTCGTCTCGATCAGATCTCTACAATCCCGTCGAAGCAAGTGCTCTTCTGAATCACCCATGACGCTTGGCTCAGGAGGATCGAGTGTCGTGGGTGAGTTTCGTTTTTCCTTTGTTAATTTTCTTCTCCTTGGTTCTGATTTTGTGGGTTTTTCTGCTCATCTTTAATGGAATCTGCTGATGCCCTTCACTGATTTTGTTTTCTTATCGTTTATTTGCGTGGAAAAGTTTATGGGTTTTGTTTACTACTTTAATTGGATTGAGGGTTTTTGAGAGTTCCCATTAGTTTGTGAAGGTTTCTTCTTTTGTTGTTTCTTGTAGTGACTATGAAGAATTTCCGTGCTTGATTTTGGCTGTGTCTGATTTGTAATTAAGAAAATCGGGTTCCTTGTATTTCTGTTTCCAAATTGAGTTATTACTATTTTTTTATAAATCCCTGCGTGCTTTCCATTATTTTGTTCTGATGAATGCTATGTTATGCGTTTATTATAAGCATGAGGACATTATTTGCCTTTTGTTGCAAATATTATGATAATTGATTGTCTAATTAGAAGAGATATTGAGTTACAGAATTATCAAGGTTGTACTTTTTAATCTTCAACAATTTTGTTTCTTTTTTTTTTTTTATCTAATTTGTTTATCTTGAGATAATTTAAATAATATTTTGAAAGATTAAAATTGTTAATTTTG